AGAGAGAGATGCATGGCAGGGGTGGAGAGGGGTCCTCTATGTGCCTACCCTCCATTCCCTGGTTATATTGTTAAAGGATTGACTAATACAAACAAAACTGAATGGAACCTTTTTACAAAAGAATATATACCATACGATTAGATTTAAATAGGATTGACAAACAGGCAAAACAAGTAAATGTAAGATGTTAGAAATCAGAATAGTGCTGACCTCTGAGGGAAATAGCACCCCAAGGGGACAGGACAGGGCTTCTGGAGAGCTGGTATTGGTGTCTCTTGATCTGTTATACAAGTGTGTTTGCTCACTTTCTGAAAATGCATTGAACTGTATTATCAGGTCTGTCCTTTTCTGTCTTTATACTTTAATAACCATTTTTAGGAAGAACCAAAGAAAAGGTGGGGAAGGGAAGGTGTGAGAAATATAAGGGAACTCAAATTCAGTAGTGTCTAGTGCTGACAAACCTGGGATTCACATAGCAAGCTTATGATTTATAAGAACTAAAATAAATATTATCTTTGTGCGTGACATTAACACTCTGTCCACACTTATGACTTTTGATACCCCTGAGCAAAATAAGGGTTCATGCTCAGACTTTTATTCAGTTTTTTGAGCGATTAGAGCTGCATACTCAACACACATCTGTTTCCCTGGCAAATATGTTCTAATCCTGGACCAGTTCCACATGAATTGGATGTTTTTTTCTGGACAACTAAAAGATTATATACCTATCATGATTAAACATTTAAACAAGTGAGCTATTGGTATATATTAAAAATAGTGTTGGCTTGGCACCCGTAGCTCAGTGGTTAGGGCACCAGCCACATACACCGAGGCTGGCAGGTTCAAACCCAGGCCAGCTAAACGACAACTGCAACAAATAAACAGCCGGGCACTGTGGCGGGTGCCTATAGTCCCAGCTACTTGGGAGGCTGACATAAGAGAAGCTCTTAAGCCCAAGAATTTGAGGTTGCTGTGAGCTGGGATGATGCCATGGCATTCTACCAAGGGGTGACATAGCGAGACTCTGTATCAAAAAATAAATAAATAAATAAATAAAGTCCTATATAGGATTTCCCCAAACTTACTATGTGTACATTAAAATTAAAAGGTAGGGGCTGGGCAAGGTGGCTCATGCCTATAATCCTAGCACTTGGGAGGCCAGGAAGGGTGAATTGCCTGAGCTTACTACACTAGTTTGAGACCAGCCTGAACCCATCTCTAAAAAATAAATAAAGAAATAAAACTAGCTGGGCATTGTGGCAGGTACCTGTAGTCCCAGCTACTTGGGAGGCCAAGGCAAGAGAATTGCTTGAGGCCAAGAGTCTGAGGTTGCTGTGAGCTACAATGCCATGGCACTCTACCGAGGGGAACAAAATAAGACTCTGTCAGAAAAAAAAAAAAATTAAGGAGAGCAGATCAGGCAGGTGAGGAGCTGGCAAAATAAACATAAATCATATAAACAGCTTTGCAATTGCTAGAATGTTATTACAAAGAGCATTAGCCCCTAAAACTTCATAATTAGCAACATAAAAAAAAGTCATAGATTACAAAATACCATCTTAATCTTGCCACTAAAACTTAATAATTATCAATATCAAAAAAATATGTAATAGATTATAAAATACCATCTTTTTTTTTTTTTAGACAGCCTCAAGCTGTCATCCTGGATAGAGTGCTATGGCATCACAGCTCACAACAACCTCCAACTCCTGGGCTCAAGTGAGTCTCCTGCCTCTGCCTCCCAAGTAGCTGGGACAACAGGCGCCCGCCACAATCCCTGACTATCTTTTGGTTGCAGCCATCATTGTTTGGCGGGCCCAGGCCAGATTCCAACTCATTAGCTCAGGTGTATGTGGCTGGCGCCTTAGCCTCTTGAGCCACAGGCACCGAGCCACTACCATCTTTTATATCTTTTTTTTTTTTTTTTGCAGTTTTTGGCTGGGGCTGGGTTTGAACCCGCCACCTCCGCCATATGGGGCTGGGGCCCTACCCCTTTGAGCCACAAGCGTCGCCCACAAAATACCATCTTAATCTCACCACTGATAGTATCTTAACCATTATATTAATAACTAATTCATCTACCAGATATTACACTGGATACAATGTCAATAACTAGAAATTTTTTTGAAAAATCATACTTCCACAAAAATCGTACATGTGAAATTTAAACTATATTCATCGCTGAAATTTTCACCAACCTGGTATCTACATTCTCCTGTTAGAAGACCCAGTTTTAATAGTCTATAGACATCCACTTTCCCTAACCGATGAATTCATAGGAACCCCAATCAAAATGCCAAAAACTAATTTTTCTAGAAAACGATTAATGACTTGACTAATTTAGAGTATGCTGGGAAATATAATTAGATGGAAATAGCCAAGAAAATTCTAAAACTAAAAGGCAATGATCAAAAAAAAAAACTGCCTACATATTAAGGCATATAAAGATATAGTGAACAGCACAACACCATTGCCAAAAGACACAATCAATGGCACAAAAGACAGTCCGACAATAGACCCAAGAGTTTAGTAGACGCAGGATTCAAATCAGTGGAGAAAAGATAGATGATTTAATAAATTATGTTGTAACAGTAGCTTTTTGCTTTAAAAAAATGGCTCCCTTACATCCCCCATCTTTTCATGTTCTTATTAATATGGAAATGTACAACATATACTTTGTGTCCCAGTTAATTACAGATGGATCAAAATACTCAAGTGTCAGAGATGCATAAATTGGGTTGCAAGAGGGCTGAACCACTAACTAAATGTGAGAATCCAGTTGTGTGGAGAATTGTAATGAACTAGAAAGCATCGGTGCTGCTTCAAACGTCACCCGCGGTAGAGTGCCATGGCATCATAGCTCACAGCAACCCCCAACTCAGGCTCAAGCGATCCTCTTGCCTCAGTTCTTCTATTTTTATTAGAGATGGGGTCTCGCTTTTACTCAGGCTGGTCTCAAATTTGTGAACTCAAGCAATCCACCCACCTCAGCATCCCAAAATGCTAGAATTACAGGTGTGAGTCACCACATCTGGCTTATTATTATTATCATTATTTTTAAAACATCAAGTCTCTGTGGAGCAAATGGACAAATGTCAGCTGGAGAAAATTAGGTGGGAGTTCTGGTAGAACAGGGTGGGAGGAGGGCACATCTTGGCACACCTGAGAAGTATTTATGTGATGGCATACACCACATGGGAAGGTCTGAATTAGAAAGGCCATGCTCTATCTAAAAGAGTGGTGGCTACTCAATTCTATCTGAGCAATATGCTATGTGCCAAGTATAAGCCCAGCATTAGTAAATCCTCAGTTTTTCATGAGAAGACAGAAGTCTAGATTGTTATGTAAAAAGCACTGGCAGATAATTTCTTTGGGAACACTGTGAGAGTCCCACATGTGGACCAGATCTGTCCACTGGCTTACAAATTCTGATGTAAATGCAAAAATGAAGTTATACAAGTGCCAGCAAAGAACACGTGACATTATTTTTACAATCTTAGAGTAGGAAAGACCTTTCTAAAGCATCTAAAGGCACAATCCATAAAGGACAAGACATTTTTAATTATACAAAAATGTGAAACTTAGGCCAGATGTGGTAGCTCATACCTGTCATCTCGGAGACCAAAGCCAGACGACCACCTAAGGGTCAAGAATTTGAGAAGGGCCTGAGGAAGAGACCCCGTGTCTACTAAAAAATAGAACAATTAGCCAGGCATGGTGGCTAATTTTTTTTCCTGTAGTCTCAAGAGGCTGAGGCAGGGGATTACCTGAGCTCAGGATTCTGAGATTGATGTAAGCTATGCTGATGCCATGGCACTCTAGCCTAGAACAACAAAGTGAGACTCTATCTCAATAAATAAATAAATAAAAACAACAAAACTTAGGCTGAGGCTCGGCACCTGTGGCTCAAGTGGCTGAGGCACCAGTCACATACACCTAAGGTGGCAGGTTCAAATCCAGCCCGGGCCCACCAAACAATGACAGCTGCAACCAAAAAATAGCTGGGCGTTGTGGCAGGCGCCTGTTGTCCCAGCTACTTGGGAGGCAGAGGCAGGAGACTTCGCTTGAGCCCAGGAGTTGGAGGTTGCTGTGAGCTGTGATGCCAGAGCACTCTATCCAGGGGGACAACTTGAGGCTCTGTCTCAAAAAAAAAAAAAAAAAAATTCCTTCTGGGTGTCAAATGACTTATTCTTTAAACCTGCTTCTAAATGCTTTTATGGGCTGGGTGCAGTGACTGACACATGTAATCCTAGGACTCTGGGGGGCTGAGGTGGGTGGATAGCTTGAGCTCAGGAGTTTGAGACCAACCTGAGCAAGAGTGAGACCCGGTCTCTAAAAATAGCTGGGCATATGGTGGGCACTTCTATAGCTACTTGGGAGGCTGAGGCAAGAGAATCACTTAAACCCAAGTTTGAGGTTGCTGTGAGCTGTGACACCACAGCATTCTACCAAGGGTGATAAAGTAAGACTCTGTCTCAAAAAAAAAAATTTTTTTTTTATGCTTGTTCCATCAATGCTAATCACGTAGTACTTGGTATATGCAAGAAGATATCGCGTTTTGCATGCAGAGTTGGTTGGAGAGAGAGGTATGAAAGGCATAAAATATAAATATGTCAGAATTCCCTCCTTCACAGCTCTCAGGAGGTCAATCTATCATGACATTTGTTTCAGCACAGGCTGAATAAGTAACAACTGTACCTTTTCCCAAATCAGTGCCATATGAACCAGTGTCTTGAACACAGAACTAGGATGCCAATGTCACCTAATACATTTTAAAGAAATGCATTAAGAGACTCAGAACTTGCAAGATTTAAAAATAATATGTAGCTAGCTAGTCTAACAGGTTTGAATTCATTTAGGGAAAACTGAAATTTTCAAACATTTCCCAGCACCAGTAATTTCCTAAGTTGCAAAATGATAAAGACCAAACTTAATTCTGTGAAAAGTGGATTATAAAATTAAATACCAGCACGTCTTTGAATCACAGAGTCTGTGCTCACCTGTTGCCACTGCTGTTGACTCTTTCAGTAAACGCCATTGCTGCCAGTCACTGGAAGGAGGCAAGTCTGCTCATCTGAAAGAGAACAGCAGCCTGTGTTAGGCCATAAATAAACTTACAGGAACACACGACCTGTGCGAAATCTCACTGGAGACAGGATTCAAAGTTCTCATTTGAATGAGAGAATAGTTCTTCAACAATTCCCAGGTTGTATGAACAAACCAGCTAGCATATTATCAAAGGCCAAATGCACTTTTAATTTTGAGGCTGCTACTCAAAGCCATTTTAGCAGGAAAAAATATGCTCAGGTTCATCCCCAGAAGGAAAGGTAGCATTTCCCTGGTGTCTACTTTGTGCCAAGCCCTCTGTCAAATAAGCCCTTTTAAAAGTGGCATTTCATTATAATTCCCTTGCAAGATAGATATTCTTATAACACCATCTTACAGACAAAAAAAAAAAAAAAAAGATTCGGTTTTAAGTTGCCTGAGGTCACAGGTTGTGTCAACATCCTCACTAGAATTAAAAAGAAGAAAACTAAGAGTGTCAGTGTGCAAGAGAAAGGATTAGCCACAGGAGATCTTCACATAAGAAGGTGATACTTCCGTGGGACCCAGTAACAACCAACCTTAAGATTTCCCTTCCACTCATAAAAGCTACCTAACTGCAACAAAAAGAGAGGAAACAAAAAGCCGAATGGTTGAGCATTACCTCTACACAGTACTGGATTTTAGAGGAAAAAAAAATCCTACCCAATCAGGGGCAGATGGTCTTGGTCCTATCTTGTCTATCTCTAGAAACAACCTGTCTCTATGCTTAACACCATCACCAGCTGTTGGCTTGCCTCTCTCTAGTATCAACTGATTGCACTCACCCTAACTTGTTTAGTTTCTATTTTATTTTTCAAACATCCTTAAGGCAAAGGCATATTATGAAATCATCTTAGTACAGATTTAACAAACTATTTGATATCTATGGAAACAACTGCATCAAACTTGTAACCATTTTAACTTGCCTGTTATTTTAAGAGGCTAACTGTTACAATTTCAGCCAAGCTGAAACATTGAAGAGAGTCCTTCACAGTCCTGATAAGGTCTTTTATCTCCCTCTCCATGAAATCTACATTGCTGACTTGCTAACTACAATGTTTCCATCCTCCCAGATATCATTTGTCACTCTATCTCCCTTTCCAAAATGTTGCAACATGAATGTTGTAAATATTTTCGTTAAACTCCCATACTAGCAGAGCTCTAAGTTTGTCAGGGTCAAATATGTTTCAGAGTCACCCACAGTCTCCAACCCCATCCCCACTCTTCCCCCTGACCTCACCATCCACTATAGCTCACTTTCTTTGTTCACTTCCTCCCTCTCTCCACCCGCTTTCTTTACTCCACACCCTGCCCTCACCCACAACCCTCCCCTCCCCTCCAGCTTCTGAGGCTCTCACTTTCTCTTGAGGCGCAGAGCTGGCACACAGTAAGTGATTGATGAAACAGTATTGTACTCATGTTGGCATTATTCTTCATAACACTTCTGTAAGAAGGCATCTGAAGGGCCCCTGGTGGCACATTCCTACCTGGCCTTCCCAAAGAAGATGTTCAACCTGTCTGCAACCCAGCAGATAGGTGGAGAGTGAGAAGCATATGGACAGGGATAGGTTGGGCTGTGGATGGGACTTACATCTGAGACAGGGGTCCTGAGTTCACTTGTTTGCTCTTTTATTCAGGAACCAATAAATATCTCCTAAACATCTGCATAAGCTGCATACTGAGAAGAAAGAAAGTGAAGAAAACAAACTCTCAGGCCATCGAGCTTACATACAAGGCGGTAAGCAAAGACACACAGATGTTAGATATTACAAGGTGCTGCAGGAGGAAAAAGAAAAAAGAAGAGCAGAGTGCCAGGGAGAAATGGAAGTAGGTGTTGAAAACTTTATATAGGATGGTCAGAGAAAGGAACATTTCAGAAAAGACTTAAAGTGAGGAACAAAGCGTCTAGGTCTGTGAAAAATGTTTCTACAGACTGATTAAGTAGAAAACCAGAGAAGTGAGCAAACTTCTGGGTCCTGTCGCTCAAAGTGAAAGAGACCACAGCTCCTGAGGGATTTCACCCCCGGGGACTTGTCTGTGCACCTCAAATCCTTAATTTTGCTAGGAGGTGTGCTTCTTCCCACAGACAGGGGCAGGGATACTGCATCACCAGATTATTATTATTATTTGAGACAGAGTGTCACTGTGTCACCCTTGGTAGAGTGCTGTGGTATCACAGCTCACAGCAACCTCCAACTCTTGGGCTTAAGTGATTGTCTTGCCTCAGCCTCCCAAGTAGCTGGGACTACAGGTGCCTGTCACAATGCCTGGCTATTTTTTGTTGAGTTGTCATTGCTGGTTAGCTGGCTCAGGCCGGGTTCCAACCCACCAACTTTGGTATACAGGCACCAAACCAACACCAGATTATTGATTACTAGGCTCAATCTTGTAATTTTGGGAAGACCAAATTCAGAGGACAAAAGGCTGTTTAGAGGGTTTACATATGATGTGTACAGCTGTATGGAATAGCAGTGTAACACAGATATAAGGTTAGGTGATGGCCTATTCTTCTAAACCACTGCTAAGAAAGGGATATAGTAGTATATGCTACAGTTAAGCAATTCTCCTTTAAGGAAATAACTCTTACAAATAGTCATCTGGGCACAGTGGCTAATGCCTATAACCCTAGCACTTAAGGAGGTCCAGGAAGGAGGATTGCTTGAGACCAGGAGTTCAAGGCCAGCATGAGCAAGAGACTCTACAAAAAAAATAGCAAAATTGGGCAGCATCTGTGGCTCAGTGAGTAGGGCACCGGCCCCAGATACCAAGGTTGGCAGGTTCAAATGCGGCCCCGGCCAAATTGCAACAAAAAAAATATAGCTGGGCATTGTGGGCGCCCGTAGTCCCAGCTACTCGGGAGGCTGAGGAATTGCCTAAGCCCAGCAGTTGGAGGTTGCTGTGAGCTATGTGACACCATGGCACTCTACCGAGGGCAATAAAGTGAAACTCTATCTTTACAAAAAAAAAAAAAAAGAAAGAAAAAGAAAGAAAGAAAAATTAGCCAGGGTGCTTGCCTGTAGTCCCAGCTATTTAGGAGGCTGAGATAGGAGCTCACTTGAACCCAGGAGTTTGTGGATGCAGTGGATCCTAGCCCTGTTCTCTAGCCCTGGCAACAGAGCAAGGATCTGACTTGAAAGAAAAAGAAAAAAATAGTCCCACGTGTACAGGAGATAACGTGCAATACAAAACTGTTTATAATAATAAAAAAAATTGGTAACAACCTAATACATAACCATCACAGATGTAGGTATAGCAAAATGCAATATACATCAAAAGGAATGAGATAAGCTTATCTAAACAAGATCTGAATAAAATGTATGATGTGAGCCAATTTGTTTTAAGAGAAAATGCTTTTTTAATGTTTACATTTATGCATAACACCACATACACAAAGTGTGGAGTAATACATGCCACCCTGTTAATAGTAGCTGTGCTGTGGATGGTGCAGTAGCTCAACCCCAATAATCCTGGAACTCTGGGAGACCCAGGAGGAAGCATCACTTGGTACCAGGAGTTCCAAACTAGCCTAAGATCAAGACTCCATCTTACAAAAAATATATAAATTAACCGGGCATGGTGGCACAAGCCTACACACCCAGCTACCCTGGAGGCTAAGGAAAGAGGACGGCTTGCTTGAAGCCTGGGAGTTGGAGGATGCAGTGAGCTGTGATGACACCACTGCACTCTTGCTGCAGTGACTGGCAGTAAGTACTTCATCTCAAAAAAATTTTTTTTTAAAAGTAGCTTTTCTAGCTTGGTGCCTGTGGCTCAAGTGGCTAAGGCGCCAGCCACATACACCTGAGCTGGCGGGTTCGAATCCAGCCC